GGGGAGATATGGGAGGTGTTTGAGGGGAGGGAGTGGGCATGGATTTGACCAAAACACCTTATATGCATGTATGAAATTCTCAATGAAGTTTTTGTAAAAGTTAAAAAAATGTTCAAATACTCAGAGCCTATGGGGGCCAATTCATTCAAACCATCACGCTGACCTTCTTTTCTCCCTCAAATGGTTCATAAAAGGAATTCCTGACTTTCTTCCCTAGAAAGCAGGTCCTCATTTCACAGGGGTCCAGCCCTATGCCCAGAGACCAAGAAGAAGCTGAGCCTACAGGCCATGGAGAGTTACCCTAGGTTTATTCCTTTTTCTCCCCCATCATACTTCAATATGACCAACCATAGAAATACTCCCTTTTCCCTGGTTCTCGAAGCCCTTTTTCTTTTGTGGTATGAGTTGAACTTAGGACCTCACACATGCTGGCAGGCATTCTACCACTGAGCTATAGTCCCAGTCATCAATTCTTCCTTTCTTTTTTTAATATTTTACTTATTATTTTTATTTTATGTGTATGAGTATATTGCCTGCATGTATGTGAGTGCAACCATGTTGTGCAATGCCCAAGGAGGACAGAAGAGGACGTCGAATCCCCTGGAACTGAAGTTACAGACAGTTGTTAACCACCATGTGGTTAACAGCTGAGCCATCTCTCCAGCCCCTCACTTCTTCATTTCTAAAAGTTCTCATATTACATACAACTTTGACTAAATAAATTTGTTTTGCTCTTCTCTTGCTAAGCTTATTGTGGTGTTGTTGTAGGAACCAGTGAGGAAAACATTTTGTTTTTCTATATATGCATTTCTTTCACATTCGATCCCATCACTCCGAGGCTTTCTACTCTTTCCCTGGCCATTATGGCTCAGCCTTCACATGGAGTTCTTTTCAGACTCTGCACCTCTCCAGAGCCAATGTTTAGACTACTTTCCTTCTTGTTTCAAGGTCTGCCTGGCCCTGAGGGCATCCAACCCACTCCTATGCTCTCAAGTATCATTTACATACACTTCTAGCTCAACTCTTTTCCTATAATTGACCCATATGTCAGCTACCTATGTGGCATCCTTACTTGAATGCCTCATGGTATTCTCAGGTTTTAGATGCCCAACACTAATATAAAGAGATTTAATTCTCAGATCATCCCTTTCTCCACCTTACTAAAGAAAATCATTCCCTTAGTTACCATATCAGTAGTAAGAGAGTCAACCATAATACCTGCTTCTTCTCCTCCCCTATATAAGTGACCATCCACCTCTGTAGAGCTGATAGTAAGATAGACCTAGGATGTCATAACATTTTTTTCGAACTTCCTTGCTGTTATGTTTAATATTGATTGCCAACTTGACAGGATCTAGAATCACCTGGGGGACAGGCCTCTGGGAATATCTTGGAGGGATTATTTTGATTAGCTTAGTTTTGGACATGCTTGTGAGGGATTACCTAGATTAGATTAAAGTGGGAACATCCACCATGACTTGGGCAGCACCATCCCATGGGTTGGGGTTCTGTACTGAATAGAAAGGAGAATGTGAGCTGAGCACTAGCCTTGATCACTTTCTGTTTCCTGACTATGAACACAGTTGGACCAACTGCCTCATGTTCCTGTCACCATCATGTCTTTGCCATGATGGACTGCATCCTTGAACTGTGAGCCAAAATAAATCCTTCCTCCCTTCAAGTTTCTTTTGTTGGGGTGTCTTATCACAGCAATAAGGCAAGTAACTCAAACACTGCTGTCAACTTTTGCTTCGACTTCATCCCTTTCTTCCCTCTTGTGTTCATTCTTGTTTGTTCCCTTCCAATTCATTGTCCTGTGTGAAAATATTTCCATAATACCTTCCGATTTTAAAGTTCTTCTACTTTCTAAAGATCATGTCAGAAATCATGAGACTGATCTCTAAGATTCTTCATGATCTGTCTATTGTGTAAACCTCTAGTCTCTGCATGATCCGCCCACTGTGTAACCCCCGGTCTCATTTTCAACAGATCTTCACATTATTCTCTGTGCTTCAGCCGCAATAAGCTTCTTCCAGTTTCTGAAATTTAACAAGGACTTTCCTTTCTTAGAAAATCCACACATATTGTTCCTTGCACCTGGGAATCTCATGTTTCCCTGCTATGTATTCTCAAAGTCCTATATTCATCCCTATATTAGATGGAAGTGCATTTGTCTGCAAAGCACAGATTACCCAATGGAGATGGTTTCAGCAACAAGCACGTTTCATGTCCTATAGCAAAAAGTCTGAAAGCAGGTATTTACAGAGCTATTGCAACATTTCAAAATTATTGTCCTAGAGTAGGACTTTCTGCTTTCTTTTCTTACAGTCTTTTATGCTCATGTTTAAGGTCATTGTCCTATATCCACAAGGTGTCTGCCAAAGATCTATACCTCTTGTTCTACTACAACTGTATTCAAGCTAGAAATAAGAGGTGAGTTCTCACCTCATGTCTATCACCTCTATCAGTTAAAGCCTTCATCACATTTCCCTCCATTGCATTGGCCAGATCTAGGACATAGGGATCAAAACTGAGTGGTTTGGTGGGGACTAGGGATGGCAAAAAGAGCAAAAGAATGGACCAGCTGCCGATCTTATAATCAGCAGCTTGACATTCTTCATAGTACTTAGCTGAACAGCAATCAAAGAGTTAAATAAGTAGCGCTGGGGAGAGGGGTCAGTAGGTAAAGTGCCTGGCTGTGCAAGCATGAGGACCTGCCCTCAAATCCCTATCATCCATGTAAAATCCAAGCACAGTGATGTGTGCCTGTAACCCCAGCACTGGGGATGGGGGCAGGCAGAACCTGGGGGGCTCACTGACCAGCTAGTCCTGCAGGAACAGCAAGCTCCAGATTCAAGGAGAGGTCCTGTCTCAAAAAGCAAAGTGGAGAAGTGATTTAGGAAGACATCCCAATGTCAACCTCTAGCCTCAGCATGCTGCCACATGGGCAAGCACATATGTGTTCACACACACACAGACGCACATACACAAACACACACTCAGTTAAATATGCATATTCTGTTCATTGTCTTCTTCATGAGCTTATGAACTGATTGCTGTGGGAAAAGCCTGTCCTCAGTGCCAAACACCTAGAAAAAGCACAGGGAAGGCGCTTTCTGGAACAGTCACGTTAATTGGTTAGAGACTAAATGAGAGAATATGAATCAGAAGAGTAAAATCAGAAGGGAGGGACAAAGGAGAGAGAACCACAAAAACAAAACTTCTGGAATCCACTGCTGGATCTCGGACCTCACGGTTGAGTTTTCAATCCATTTAATTTGAAAATGATCTTTTCTTCAAGAAAAGCTGAACAACTGTTTGGAGTACTCCGTCCTTTGCACAGTGACCTCTGCTCTGCCAAGCTCTAGATCATGCCACATGAGCAGACATTATGGTTATCACTGAAATGTGGGAATGAAACCTTTTTTAAAAATTTAACCCCTGTTAATGCACTATATAATTCAGAACAATTTTAACTGCCTTAATTAAATAATGTAAGACAATTCTTTAATAAATCATTGAAATATCATTAAAGAAGGGGGGAAAAAGCACAGGAGAGCTAGGAAATTATACAGAGTAGTCAAAGCACTTTTGATCTAAATTTTCCCTTCCTGGGTGCATCACACCAACACATACACTTGTCATTCAGGTTGGATAAGTCGGGAGAAAGAAAATGTCAAATGCCTGGCACGTAAAGCATGCCTGGGCAGCTTGTGTTCTTATATCTAGCTCAGAAGGAAGTTGGGTTTGCACCTATTTCTATCAGGTCCTAAATATGTAGCAAATTGAGCTTGTTCTTTGGCTCAAAATTGACAGAGTAATCTTAAAGTACCTTCCATTATAGTTAGCTCAGAATTTTCAAACTTAAATCAACAAGGTCAAGTGGTAGTGAATGCAGCCAACTCTAACCAATCTGTGAAGACAGTCAACTGTAATCAGCCAGTAAATGTGGCCAACTCTAACCAACCTGTGAACGTAGTCAACTATAACTAACCTATGAATACAGTTAACTACAAGCAATCTAACAAAACATTTACAGGCAGATTCATTTTCCCAAAAGTATCTATGTCTATAGATACAAAATCTCTTCCTAGCTTCAGATGGACATTCTGTTTGGCCGAATCAAAACACAGGCTGCTAACATACAAATATCACATTTATTCAAAAAGGCAATTTAAGTATCTACACATACAAGAGTAGACTTCAAGATTTAAATACGGTTTTCATCTGCAATAAAACTTAAAAAAAAAACAGAAAATGACTTTAACATTGGCAAAGGGAGATCCTTCTGAAAAAATGTAAACAGATGGCTGAGAAAGATCACCCACATGCTGAACACAGATCTTGAGGAGGCATTTCTAAGAATGAAGTAGCACTTCCCAGCCTGGGCCCCTTCCCACAGGATCCTTATTTAACCCAAGAAAGCATGATGTTGATGCCTCTGGCCAAGAGCAACTCAGTAACTCCTATAGAGTAGCTTTCAACTCACCCTCACATTCCAGAAGGAGTCTGAGACTAGCAATCCCCAATAAATCAGCATTCAGTGATCAGCTCCGAGCTGATACCCTCCCATAGAAACTGTCTGCTAGGTCCCAGCTAAGCATATTAAGCATTAGATTTAATGTATGACACACATCTGCTCTAGTTTCCCAGTGAGCAGAAGTTTTGAGATGACTTAAATCCCAGACTCAATCAACAAGGAAAAAAATTGGCAACATTTAAAACTCAGTCTCAAAAATATAATCCAAATGAGGGCAAGAGGGACCATTTTGCTGTAACTAATGAGATTATACAACACCTCAATCAAATCCACAAAATTACCTGTGTAGGAATATTGGATCTTTATCTGGGTTTATTTACCTTTCCTTTCAAGGCCATCAGCATTTCCTGAGGATCATCTACACTTAGCCCACAACAGCAAGGACTAAGCGATAGAGATTCCACATCAGGGCTAAACACCCTGGAGGGCCAAAAAAAAAAAGTGTAAGAGGTAAACTCACAGATTTGTCTTTTACAAGCAGAGCACAGCACTGAATTCCAGCCATCAGCATCTTATGTGGGTTCCAGGCCACCGAGTCAGCCCTGTAATGATAAAAGAAAAGAGCAGGGAAGGAACTTGGTTAGTTACTGTACAGGAAGGAAAACTACCCTGGACAGCAGCCACAAGGAGTTCTCACGCCCGAGTTGTTATTCTATGGGATTCCTTGTCTGAGTGCCTGGAGGAAATAGATGGTTTTTGTCTATTCTCTTTGTGTTTCTGTATGTGTGTGTGCATGTGTGTGGAGGACAAAGGCCATCCTTGAATCCGAGGAGACCATCCACTTTTTTTGAGACAGAGTCTCTCATTGGCCTGGAACATGCTGGTTCACCTAGGGTGGCCTGCCAGCGATCTCCCCAGGACTGAGATGGCAAGTGTGTGCCACCACACGTGGCATTTTTTTTGTGTGGGTTCCAGGGAATGAACTTGGTTCATCTGGTAAGCATTTTACCAGCCATGTTATCTCCCCGGCCTCCATTGCCAATATTCAGTCTCTCTTGGATGGAAACAGTCCAACAAGTTTGTTTTTCTTTCCCCTAAATTAAAGTGAGCTAAAAGAGAGAGAGAGAGAGAGAGAGAGAGAGAGATTACCTGTGGATGCCATGGAGAAGCTCGCGGTGCTTCCTTGATACCAAAGCTGAGCCACCCCATGAGGCCTGTTGAGATATTTGTATAGCCAAAACAAGGTTATTTCAATGCCATTTGCTTGCCCATAAGCTGGCATAGCAAACCCTCATGTGTGTCATTTTGTTACTTCATTTGATGTCATGTTCACTGTTTTGTACTGCTGGGAAATTTGACCACTTACACTCCTCAGGCAACTAGAACCTCATTACAGCAAATGAGCCCCCATTGACTCACAGATGTGAAGTTACACATCATAAAGAAATAGATATATTAAGCAATTGAGCTTTGTGTGGATGAAAAGAAGTTAAAAAGATTCAGCCCTCTTGAGCCTAGGATCTAAAAGAGATGACATCTTCATTTTCACAGTGTTGCTGTACACACTGCACTATGAGTCATGGACCAAAGGCTAATAGTCTACCCAATGAATGAGGGCCATTGTTGGCAAAGTGGATAGAAGGTCAACTAGGATGGGGTAGGTGGAGATGTATCTTTTTAAAAAAAATGAGATCTTTTCAGTCAAACGCATCTCAGAAATAGTTGCCAACAAAGAGCGGGAGAATAAGGAGGAGAGTTGGTGCTTAAGGAAGAGATGGTAACTGTAGCAGTGACTTTCCTGGGCACTAGATGATGCAGCTGACGAAAGGAAATTCCATGATCGCAAGTCTAAAGAGAAGGGAGGAAGACTCGAAATGGGAGGAATCAAATGTCAGTTTGGTTCTTGAAAACTAAGCAGACTGAGGTATAATCTGTAGGACAATGACAGGAGTCTGCAGGGAAAGAGTCAGAGCGCTTGACCTTGAGTCGTGCTGCATGCTCTCCATCTCTATTGAAATCCCACAGCATCCTCTGAAGGGTAGACATGACCATCTCTACTTTTACGAGTAAACTAAGGTCCAAATGTGGCCACTAGATTGTCTAGGTTCTCACAAGTAACCAAAATCAGATCTAGCATCCAAAAACTATTCTCTTTTCCCAATAATGTAATGATTAGTAGAAGCGATCAACTGGTGAAATCAGAGACCATAACAAGTCGAATCATGGGGTGATGGAGATGTTTCAGGCAAAGGTTGAATTCAAGCATTGCCAAGCATACAGACAAAGGCTATCCTAGTTTAATAATAAGTTTAAAGGTTGGTAGATTCCATGATATAGGAAAACGTGGCAGGATTGCATGCAACATGGAGATAGATGATGAAAGAAAGAGAAACCCCTCTGGTTCTCAGACATCACTAAAGCTGAACTCACTTTCAGGATGAGACTGCTATGCAGCCCTAAGAGTGAACAAGTATCGCCGAGTCCTTGGATCCTCACTGGTACCACTTTACTTCCAGCTGTCATTCAACAAATTCCATAAAATCCCCAAAGGCTCTTGATATGTTTCATGGGTAGTGTGTATGCAAATTCCAAAGATTCCCAGGTAGGAGACTGATGGCTTGGGGCTGTCAGTTAAGTGTCCTTCCTGCTACCTTTTGTATACTCTCATCCCTCAGTGACTCACAAGGACCAGATGTGACTGAGGCTGCCACCAAGCAGGAAGTCTTGGTCAAATCCACTTACTTTCTCATGCAGTCCGCCTGCCCCACACCCCAGACTTCCACTAGCTCTGCTCCCCTGTACTTTCCATGCCTCTTCTTCCCCTAAAAGTGAATATATTCTCTCAGTCCTACTAATCTTGGTTTACATGATTTACATTTTAAAACCACAAAAGCTATTCTGTTGGTTCTCTAGAATTTGCAAAGTCATCAATCACCTTAATGATGAA